CCATCCAGACATTCAGAGTGGATGAAGCAATCCTCCCCGCTGCACTATTGTATTCTGACAGCGGGACTTCATTGCCAGAATGCTCTGATCAGCACCAGCTTCATGGCTAATTCACACCAGCCACTACGTAACGACACAGCAGCTAGTGTTTGGTACGGTCCCAGTCAGATCACTGTAGTGACGATGAGCTGGTCCCGGCACAACGCACTGTGCACTATTTATCTATTTTTTTTTATAATGAACTTAAAGTGGAGTTCCAGCGGTTTTTTGTGTTTATTAAAAGTCAGCAGCTACAAAAACTGTAGCTGCTGACTTTTAATAAGCACACACTTACCTGTCCTGGACTCCAGTGATGTTTCTCACCTGCGCCATCCCTTCTCCCCCTTCTCTCCTGCACAGTGGCGGCATCCCTACTGTGGGCACCAGGCTGTGACAGCTTGTGGCTTCACAGCCTGGTGCCCACTGCGCATGTGCGAGTCGCACTACGCCTCCTAATTGGTCCAGCAGTCTTCTGGGACCTGTGAAAGTTCCCAGGAGACTGCGGGAGGCAGGAGGGGGCCGAACTCCCGTCTCATTTCGCCAACTGAGCTGGAAGTGGGAGTGGGGTACCTGTAAAAACAGGTATCCGCCCCCCCCCCCCTCGAAAAGGTGCCAAATATGGCAGTGGAGGGGAGGAGGAGGCAAATAAGCGGAGCTTCCACTTTTGAGTGGAACTCCGCTTTAGAATGTTACTAAATCCAGGACCCTGCATTCACTATATCTGGTCTCCCACAGTACACACAACATGGAGATGCAATTATTTTAGTAAATCTAAACTGCTAAATACTTTTTCTTATCAGCAGTATATAGCAGTCTTGTAACTTCTATAAGTGTCCAATAGAGCACTGGTTTAGCTTGTAGGAGAAGTTTTCATTCTTCTCTGACTGTCCTATGAGGCTGCATGACCCCTGACCCTCTGTCTGGACAGCCCTGAGTTGCCCTGTGCCAATCACATGCACTCACCCCCCCCCCCCCCCCCCCAAAAACAAAAAAAATTCTTTAGCAATACACACCAAACAAAGCATGTGCACACTTGCCACTGCTTCTCTGTACTATGGCAGATGGATTGGGGACAGTAAAAGAGGGGAGGATCAGAGAAAACAGACTCACACAGCCTGTTTACACAATGCAGAGGATAAACCCCTTAAGTTCCACAGTGAGTATAACAAGCATTCTTTACTGCATATACAGACAGCTTTTACTGTGTGGGTTTAGTAACACTTTAATTGAAATTGGCCACCATGTAGTGCAAAGCAATGGATTGCTGAAAAAAGTCTGACTGGCCCTGTGACTGGCCCTGGCTGAAAAAAGTCTGGTCTGCTGTACTTTTTTCACACACACACCACCCACTCATTAGCACAATGCAGTGTGTGAACCAGGCACACTGGAGACAAGGCATTTTACTTTGTCTTGCAGTGGAACTGCAATGCAATAGCCACTAGCCACTGGACTAGGCTCATTCACACCATTTGGTGCCTCTGAGCGTGCATGCTTTTTTTGCACTTTCCTGTGCGCTGCACTTCAGGGAAGCCTTTTAATTTCAATGGGCTGCCCTGTGGGCATGAAACACGCAAAAAAGGTGTCAGCAGGATTTTGAAGATAACAGCATTTGGGGGGGGGGGGGGGCGCAAACGCACACATATTTGCTAGATGTTTGAGAATTAATGGCACCTGTGTTCATCTGCAAAAGACGGCATTTTTCTGTGGTCTGAGAAAATGTATGTTTTTGCACTCGTTCTGGCACCGCACCTGGTGTGAACAAGCCCTTACGCTGTCTGTACATGGAGCAAATTTTAGACAGTTCCTGATTAACCACCTGAAATTTGCTGAGTGACTGGCCCTGGCAGCTGCCTCCTTCCTGAACCCCTTTGGTTGTGTAATGGAAGAAGCCGGGCGGAAAGTTATCAGTTGAATAGTGTCTGCGTCCAATCAGCTGAAGGTACTGTTCTGGTATTTTGATGACTGGAGGGCCTGGCTGTCAAAATAAAATAGTGCAGACAGACAAATCTCCCACTGTGACTGTGTAGTGTGGATGGAGGAATCTGAAAATGTTTTTTCCATGCAGCCTGCAGGGTGAACAGAAAGATATTTCTGTGTATGGCCAGCTTTAGCTCTTTAGCATGAATGGGGTAAATCTTGATTTTCTTCCTTCATCCCTTTGGGCTGAACAGGAGAAATCTTTACATGTATGGCCAGCTTACTACCCTTTGTTTGCTGGGATTGTCCATCTTTTGAAACCAAATTCCTGTGTTCCCAACCTTCTGAACTGTCCCTCTTTTAATTCTGGTGTACAAATCTGTAAAAATATATAATTCAATTCATCCATCCTACAGATAATTGAAGTGGTTATTTTTATAAAAGAAAAACAGCAGTAAAAAATCCCCCGTGGGTCTATGAAGATTCTTGTAGAACATACATTCATGGACTTGTTCTATTATGTTGATGGCATGTCAGTCTTCAGTTTCAGTATCATACTGTACTTGTATATCTGCAGTGTAAGATCTAAGGAAATGCTGCCTCTAACTTCTGGGCCCAGAGGATCTGGAGTGAGATTTGGTGATGTCACTGCTGTGCTGATCACTGTCCTTGCTGGAGGTTCTGACACAGAGAAGCAAAGCTTTGCTTCTACAAAGACAGCTGCATTTCTGGAGCCAATCCTGGCGCTTTTTTTTCACCATTTGTTTTGGTACATTTGTAGGACGTTTGCCGTGCAATAAAATAGTCCAGCAAATACGTGCCTGCTACCCGCCCTTGGTGTGACGTTAACAATTAAAAGCACCGCAATTCAATGTGTTCTCGATACAAACAACAAAACATGCACTTTGTTGCGCGTTATGGAAATGCCAAGTGTGAATGGAGCCGAAAAGAGAAGTACAGCCAAAGCATACATCTCTAGTGGATCACAAAAGTACTTTTGCTCTCCTGTGACCTAGAGTCAGCTGATAACAGGCTTTTTCCCACTATCAGCTGATGCAGCAGAGCCCCTCCAATATTGTCAGGATCCACCCAGCTACCTGAGTGACAGCTAACACTGCCTCTTAGTCAGGGGCGGACTGACAACTCATGGGGCCCCCGGGCAATAGGGAATCATGGGGCCCCTGTCCTTGCCCAAACTCAAAAAAAGGTACCAGGGGCATCTCATGGGGCCCCCTACTGACCCCGGGCCCTCGGGCAGTGCCCGAGTTTACAAATGGTCAGTCCGCCCCTGCTCTTAGTGCACGGCTGAAAGCTGGAGCGAGCTGTGCCTGCCCCCTCCCCTGCACTTCAGTGAGAGCTGGAGGAGAATAGCAGAGCAGACTGAGAGCTGAGTGATCCGCAGTCATGTGGTCATTAATTTTTCTCGGGATTAATGTGGGATAGCTGCAGCATTGGTGAGTATGGATGTTTATCTGTCCACTATCCCAACCTTCCTTACTGTGAGTAGGGAGTAGGGGTGTGTCTTTAGAGCGCTGTGTGTGTCCATGGACAGGAGAATGTGCACGTGGGTGCCTCCTTAGCAACTAGCTATAGAGACACCCGCAGATAGGTGGGACTGAGCTGATCTGAAGTCAATAAACAGTTTTAAAGTGGAAGAAGCAAGAAGAAGAAGCAGCATTTGTGGACTCCTCTTTACAAATACAAATGTGGGTTTACTATCACTTTGCCTACAGTCACAGATATTCATTGATTTCAGTCTTCTCAAGCAGGCGTTTCATGAGTGTTTTTGAAGCTCCACGAATGCCTGTCAAAAAGTGCCCAGTGTTGTTCACATGGTAGTTAGCATCATGTTGCTACAAAAGTGATCTGACACGTGTTGTTTGCCAATTGCTTCCATTGTTAATGGAAATGTGCTGCAAGCGTGTCACAAAAGTCCCTATGGCCTTGAGGTCCCATTCACATGATTGCATAATAGGAACGAGGCAGATTCTGCGTGTCACATATTCACTTGAATAGGCTGCCCTATGCGTGTTTGTCATCCGAAAAGAAGCTCCTGCTCCTTTTTAGGTGAGAAGCTTCATGCGATTGTTAAAGACATGGTGTGCAGCAATTGCTGCATGATAATTGTGGCAAAATTTCATCGCATTTAGGGTGTGATCGAAGGATAATGGCACCCAGACGTGTGCACCGTGTATTGTGCTGCAATCGCCATGCGATTCCAAATCGTGAAGTGTGAATGGAGCCTGAGGACCAGTTCACACCAGAGCGTTGATCTGTGTTGTAGTGCAGTTGTAAAATGCAGATCAACAAAAGGACATCTGAAAAACAATCATTGCCAACATGTCCTAGTCACACCACAACGCTGCGCATGCACGTTGATGGACATTAAAATGTATGTCAATGGACGTCAACGCGCGTCACAACGCGACTGCAATAGATGGATTGCATTTTCCATACATTTTAGGTCAGTGTAAATCGGCCCTTACAGAGTGTGCTGACCGTTTAGAAATTGTTACTAGCCAGCGCATCAAAGCGCGTCAAGAACGTATTTTGCGTGATAATGTATGTCTTGGCATGTCTGAATAAGCCCCATCATTGACAATGCAGGTTGAATGGTGGATCTGAGGGGTACAGAACTGTCAGACCCGGCTTATAACCCCCCATTCCATCCATATTTGGGGCCCTCTGGGCCCTGTTCTTCTCCTCTCCCTCCTGCCCCGCACACCTCGTCTCTGAAGTCCCTCTAATTCCCGGCAGCGCAGCTCACTTCGCTATTTGAATAGCACAAAGGAACCGCCGCGCTTCTATTGGCCGATCCGGCCCAAGTTGGGAGGATGCTGTCCGTCCATCAAGCCTAACCCGGACCGACGATTGGCGGAGCGCTGGCGGGGCGGGAGCAGGCTGTCCGTATATAAAAGTCAGGGAGCCCAGGAGAAGCAGCACAAGCCGTAGCGCGGTGCGGAGTTGTATGAGTGGTGAGCGGTCTGAGCCGTGTGTGTGATCGGAGACAGGCAGCCCTCTCCTCTCCTGGAGCCCCCGGCAGGATGGAGTGCGCCCTGGACGCGCAGAGCCTGATCAGCCTATCCCTGCGGAAGATCCACACGTCCCGCACCCAGCGGGGCGGCATAAAGCTGCACAAGAACCTGCTGGTCTCCTACGTGCTGCGCAACGCCCGGCAGCTCTACCTGAGCGAGCGCTACGCTGAGCTGTACCGGCAGCAGCAGCACCCACCGCAGCCCATGGAGTGCGGCCCGGAGCTGGAGGAGATCCCGGAGCTGAGCCCTCTGCAGATCCCCGAGGAAGGCGAGGACGAGATGCACCACCAGCTGCCGCGGATCCAGACCGGCGCAGAGCTCCTGGAACCCGGACTGGAGGAGCCGCTGGAGCTGCCGCCGTGCGCCCACACTCCGCACCCAGCCAAGGAGCTGCTCCACCCGGCCGGCACTTTCTACCCCCGGGGCTGCTGCCAGCAGGACGAGCTGGAGGAGGAGAGCATGGGACCGGCACACTGCAGCCAGACCACCGTGCTGGACCTGGACACTCACGTTGTCACCACTGTGGAGAACGGATTCCTCCACCAGGACTGCTGCGCTTCCCAGTGCCCGTGCCAAAGCGCACCGTCCCCCGCGCTCCCCTCCGTGGCACCAGCCGCCGTCACCGCTCCCCCTTCCCCTCTGCCAGCCAAGCGCAGGTACCCCCCGTCGGGCTACAGCTACGGCTGCTCGGTGGTGGAGGAGGACGATGAACTGGAGCCCCACTTTGTGCCCTGTAAGAGGGGCAGATACGAGGACTACTGCCCGCAGCTGGCTCCCCCGGAACACTCTCAGCAGCCGCCGGCACAGCAGCAGCCACCGCCGCAGCACCCCGCCGACTCCTCCAACATCTCCAACCTCATCTCCATCTTCGGCTCCGGCTTCACCGGACTCATGGGCAGGCAGGCGGACTCGGAGCAGAGCCTCAACGGGCACTTGTGTGGCAAGCAGGCGCTGGCCAGCTTGGGCGCCTGGACTCGGGCCATAGTGGCTTTCTAGCAGGGGGACCCCCTCTTTGGCATGGATGGTGGGGGTGGGTTGGGGGGGTGTTAAAGGGGGTGTCTTCTCCTTTGAAGGGCACTGAATTCAGGACTTGTACATAGAAAATGTTTTATAGAGACTGTACAGTAAAATAACTTGGACTTTATTTTTGCAAAGAGAGAGCACCTATTTAATGAATTCTTTTTTGTTTTCTATTTTATTATGTTTCTTTTTAAGTGGTCGGTTATTGGTGTCACCCAAGGCAGAGGCTGCAGATGAAGGGGTTGCAAAGAGTCACATTCATTTTTTTCTTTTTTTTGGGGGGGAGGGGGGGTTCTCCTTGAAGCTCGCAGGGTGGGCTGTAAAGGGAACTTCAGACCCCCACAACTCCATAGAGAGTTATATGTACCCTTAAAGGGGGAGTCTGCCTGGTGTGTGCTGGGGTTAGCTTAACCCCAGCCTTGCTGGGCATTTTTTCTCTGTGACTGGCTCAGTTAGCCACTTTTTTTTTTTTTTCTTGGCACATCCTGAAACCACTCACAAGATTTTCTGGGGAAATAGCTAAAGTGGTGTTCATATTCCTGGTGATCTTTCCTCCTCTTGTCTGCAGCCCTTTGTCCTTGGGTTATGAAGGCAGAAATAGTAACATTTTAACTTTATTCCCTTTTTTTTTTTTTTTTTCTTTCTTTCTCCACTGTGTTGTGACTTCAGTAGTGTGCAGTGTACAATGCAGTTTTGGCTATATTGGGAGGGTTGGTTTGGGGGGCTTGGGGCAGATTGTCATTGTCACTAATATCAACAGCATTCTCCATCCCTGGAAACTCCACAGAGCACCTCAACCCAAACCATATTTTTATAGCGTGTCACCTTTTTATGTTTTCTATACCTTGCTGAATTTTAAACCCTTTCTTTGGACCATGTGCAGTACCCCCCCCCCCACTCCAACCCCCCCCCCCCCCCCTTATATTCTAAAGTTCACTTGTACTAATTTCAGCCTTCATTTAACTTTCATGAAACCAGCATTGTATGGTCTTGTGATCTGTCCATGTTTTGTTTAAGTTTTTTGTTTTATATATATTTTTATATATTTTTTTGGCATTTAATCCTTTTGTTGTAAAAAGGTGGTTTAGGATAAAACCTGCCATGCCAACATTCTCACTTACAAGCACTATGTGTATTAAAATACGTTGCCATGCCAAACGTTTTTTATTTTTGTGCTAACGACTCCTGTATTTTGTGTATATTGAACTGTATTATCACCGGGTAAACTGTTCAGATTTATTTGTTTAAATTTATAATCTTAAATAAAAACAAAAACTTTATGCAATTCAACTGGAGTTTTCACTGTCTCTCCTTCAGCTCAAATCCTAGCTAAGCATAAATTTGGGTATTGAGGCATAAAGCCTTAGGGTCTGGAAACTAAGAACTTTTGAGTATTAAACTTTTTTTGAAAGTTCTGGGCGGAAATGATCTGTGCCTTACTGATGGGTCAGACAATGATGTGCAAATTTGTGGTTACGCCATGGCAACCAATCAGCTGTCACCCTTTTTGGAGACTCCTGAATCAGTGAGATTGGATACTACACTTTGTACATTTTTCTTATTAAATGATATGCTGGGTGTCTAATAGTTCTATTTTTGAAGGGTGATAGTCTCATCTGCACTGGTTGCCTATGTTCAGGAATAAGGGTGCTACAGTAGACCCATCAACTTTGAATAAAATCACTCAACACCCAAATGTTCTAACAACTACTATTGCCAAGTTACCAGGAAGTTTCTACTGATGACTTGAAGTTGGAGCTAGGGTGGTCCATAACTGTTCAACCACATCACCTATACCAGAATTGTTCTTTAACCTGAACTCTGGCAAGTGACCAGGAGAATGTGTTGAAGTTGTGGTTTCAAAGTTCATGGACCACCCTAACACCAACTTCAAGTCACCAGTAGAAGCAATCTCCTGGGCACTTAACAATAGAGTTCAGATTAAAGAACACTTTTTTTTTTTTTTTGGTATGGATGATGTGGCTCAAAGATTATGGACCACACCACCACCATCACCCATACCAAAACTATTCTTTAACCTGAACTCTATTGTCGGGTGACCAGGAGAAGGCTTCTACTAGTGACTAGAAGTTGTCATAAGGCTGGACCACAAATTTGAACCACATCACCCATACCATAATTGTGCCTGTACCATAATTTAACCTGAACCCCATTGAGTCACCAGGAGAAGGCTTCTACTGGCAGCTTGAAGTTGGTTTAAGGGGAGGGTGGACAAAACACTGAGCCAACTGGTAAACCAAAATGTTCTTTAACATGAACGTTATAAAGTCACCAGGAGAAATCTTCTGCTGGTGACTTTTATTTTGGTTTATGGCAAGGATGGGCAAATGTTGAAGCATATCTCACATACACCTAATCTTGACTGTATTGTAAAGTAACCAGGAGAAGGCTTCTTCTGGTGACTTTATGGCATTTGGTGGACAAATTAATCTGAAATTCAGGAAGCAGTCTGTCCAGTCCAGGAGCCAGGTCCATTAACAACTAGAGAACCTCAAAACCTAGCCACTGCCTTTCATTTTTGTTTTAGGAATATTGGCTCCTGGGATTTGTCCAGCCCTGGTTTCTGGAATGTTTTGGTGTGCAGGCGGCGTGGTCTATTGTTCATGGTTATGTTTTAGCAAATACCTTGGCTTTAAAGAGATTTTCCTTCCTCAAGTCGGGTATGGTATAAACACTGACCCAGGTGGCAAAATGCTCCAAAAATACCATAGACTAGAAGTAATCACAAAGTCATTGACTCTACCAATGAAAACTTTCCTATTTGTTTTTGTTGTCTCTTCCCTGTGCCACTTGGTGGTGTTTTGTTTCCCTGATGGGAACAAATGAGGGATGGTAATTAAAACCTGTGACTACTTCTACCATTCACTCAAGAATTACATTCCAAAAATCTAATGAAACCCTATCAGATCTACTCTCTGTCCTAGCCAGGTCAAAAAATCCTAGAGTGGATTTTCATTTCAGAAGAGCCTCCATCAATCTTGAAATGTTGAATTATTGGAATCCAAGAGGCAGGCTGAGTCCTCATCAACCAGTAAAGTTCAGGAGAAGCATAAAACAGGCAGTTGTGTTTTGCAGGAGCAGCTCAGTCGATTGAATCGATCTTGTGCTCTGCAGACTATTGCAACCCTATTTTATATTTATGTGTACAGCATACCATAAAGGGAGAAAAGGAAAATTCAAGCAGTGGCTTTTCCTTTAGTAGAAGCAATTAAAACTAGAAGGGGGGGAGGAAGAAAAAACTGCAGACTGCATTTTAACCTAAACTAATGTTGCCTATTGAAGCGGCTCTTTCTGCAAACGTTTAGCTTTATTTTGTGCGAGAAAATAAGAGGCTGAATGTTTATAGCAAAGCAAGCCCAGTCCAAGCCATCTACTCCCATTGCTGGGTCTGTAAGCAGTTGCCAGAGCTCCTCCTAGTGGCGCTCTGTGGGAATTGCAGCCTGAGCTTGTTGGGAAGGTGTGATGATACCAATATTTCCAAATCTTTGCAAGAAAGAGCTTATCGCTCGCAGTTCTTATCCCCTGACACACCGTGGCGGGATTGCTGGGATTTTTCAAACTTCTTCAAAGCTTCCACAGCTCGACTTTAGCTGTGCAGCTCAAGGCAGCAGCTCTCAGTCCTAATGTAATATAATGATCAGCAGCAAAGAAAGATCACAATGATGCTTTTAGGAGCACAGTCAGGGTGACAACACAGCCTTGTCACTTGTTTAAATCACATGCTAACCAAATCACTAAACGCTCATGTTAATATTTCTGAAAAAAAATGTTCAATATTTTTCCAGCTACCGTTTTTTTTTCTAATAAAATAACTATTGATCCTGCAAGTAAAGTCCTTGTTCAGGCAATTCCTGTTATACGGTGACAATGCTTTGTCCCTCTCAAATTTTCCTCCTGCGTTGTCACCATGTTACGACAAGTGTCTCATTAAGCCGCCATCACTGGATTGCGTGTAGCCAGAAAGTGATTGCAGATCGCAACACTGAGATGCAACAAAAGATTTTTTTTAGTTTTTTAGCGGCATTTGTTTATGATACACAGTGCTTTAGCAAAATAAACATAATTTAGTTAGGCTAATGTCAGGAAGGTCGCTAGAGACAAATCGCCAGAGGCAGGATCGCAAAAGGCTACGCGTCTCTTTAAAACTGCTCCCTCTCTCGCCATCTATTACCTTGAGAAAGGGGACCTGCGAGTCTCAAAAATGGTGGTGGATTTTACTGCATGTTCTGCAATCGAGATCTCAGTAAGCATGTGAGATTCTCTTTATGGTGTGCTGGCCATATATATATTTTTTTTTTTTTCCTTGGCTTATCCCTCAGTAGCCAGACGCAGCGAGATGTGGTTCTGTTGCTGCTGAATCTCAGTTGCTAGTTATGGGAGTGACATCTTACTGCCTTAGCTACAAAGGAAACGATTCCATAAGGACAAACAGGCAGCCTCTTCATGATCCTGCTGCTGGCGGTTTCCACAAATTACTAGCGGCAGAGTCGCCCGTCTGACATCAGCTTTAGGGTTCACATCTTTTTTTAAATTAGCAAATGTTCTCAGAAACCACGGCTTGCAACTGTGTTTCATTGTTCCCACCGCAGTTGATAAAAGCTGAGATCTGATTGGCTAATAGCAGTTAGTGTATTGCATTTCCAAATAAGCCCATAGATGTCTGTAATGCGAGGGTCGCGACCCACTTTGTTATTATTTACTGCATAATATAAAACTGTATATTAAATGAGACACCAAGGGTTACATAGGTACGAAAGAGGTCAAGGCTATATACCCATCTTGAAGCATTCAGGGGCTTCAGCTGTGATATCTCTGCACTGGAGTTCTGCTAACCTCCCACAGCCAGGAGCTCTCGCTCTGTGCGTTGCTTTATTTCTGACCTTGCGCAGAAGGCGGAGTCAGACTCATTGAAGAAAGACAGAGCTAGAGAGAATCAGAACAAGCCAAAGGGTAAA